ATCCACCCCACCCACCACCCACCCACCCACCCATCCATCCAACCACCCATCCATCCATCCATCCAACCATCCAACCACCCACCCACCCATCCATCAACCACCCACACCCATCCATCCATCCAACCATCCAACCACCCACCCACCCATCCATCCACCATCCAACCACCCATCCATCCAACCATCCATCCAACCACCATCCAACCATCCACCCATCCATCCATCCAACCATCCAACCACCCACCCACCCATCCATCCACCATCCAACCACCCATCCATCCATCCATCCATCCAACCCCAACTTGTCTATCAAAAGCAGTTGAGCCTGAACAGCCGGGTCCCTCCCAGTGCTGCCATGGACCACCCAATGGTACCTGCTTTGGCTACGGCACCTTGGGGCTCAGTCAACTCCATCTCATACACACGCTCCCAGTCCAGCGGGGGCTCATCGGTGCCACCTACCCCTGCACCCAAAAGAGGAGTGGGCGGTTATGGGATGTCCCCATGCAATGTTGTCCCCGTCTCCATCCCCATCACCCACCTGCCGTCACCAGGAATGTGTAGGACTTGGAGACGTGCCCCCGCACCACGCCGTGCACCTCCACCCGGTACATGGCCCCTGGCACCAGCCCTGGCACCCGGGCCACCGCCGTGTCCCCTGGCACCTGTAGCTCCCCCTCGGCCCCCTCCGGCTCTTCCAGGAGCCGGTAACGGATCACCACAGTCTCTGCGTGGCCCCGCAGCCCATCCAGGTCCACCAGAGCCTCACCGGCAGCCCCCGGCATCAACTGGGGCTTGGGATGGGGGATCTGGCGGAGGAGCTGGTGACGCAACGGGGCTGGGCTGCGGCGTAGAAGGTAAGAGAGGATGGCACGGGCCACCGCCGGCACCGTTTGGTTGCCCCGGAGGGGGAAGTTCGTAGCCCGGAGGTGGCTCTCCAGGCGCTGCAGCAAGGAGCCATTGTAGGAGGAGAGCTTGGCCCCCAGGTCATGCAGGGATGGGCCACCCGGGAGCACTGGGGATGCTGGGGACACTGGGGACCATGGAGATGGACGTGATACAGGGGACTGTGGTGATGCTGGGGACCGTGGAGATGCAGGTGACCTGGGGGACACTGGGGATACTGGTGCCTCTGGCGACCTTGGGGACACTGCTGACCCCGGGGATTCTGGGGACACTGGTGATGCCAGGGACACTGGTGACACTGGGGACCTCGGGGATGCTGGGGACCCTGGGGACCCTCGAGTTACTGGGGATGCTGGAAACCTTGGAGATGCTGGGGAAGCTGGTGACCCCAAAGACCCTGATGACCCCAAGGATGCATCCGGTGACACTGGTGATGCCGGTGATCCCAGGGACCCTGGTGACCCCAGGGATGCTGGTGACACTGGGGACCTTGGGGATGCCGGAGACCCTCGGGCTGATGGTGATGCTGGGGCCACTGGTGATGCCGGGGACCCCAGGGAACCCTGAGGTGACCCTGGGGACCCCCCATGGGTGGGCAGAGTCTGAACAAGCACTGCGAGAGCAAAGGGGACCAGGGTCATCAACTCATCCCCAAAAGTCCCCGTCTGCCAGAGCCCAGGGACCCACAGGAGGGACACAGGGATGGATGGACACGGGAAGGGATGGGGACAACATAGGGACAGACTGGGGACACCCACGGGGATAGACTGGGGACACCCAGACTCATGGGCACAGACTGGGACAGATGGACTGATGGGGACAGACTGGGGACATCCGGGCCCAGGCAACAGAGGGATGCATGGGGAAGCACCAGGAGATGTGGGGACACGTGGAGCCACGGGGACACATGGACCCATGGGGACACACGGGGGTAGACGCAGGTAGATGGGCCCAAGGGGACTCACGGACCCACAGGGACAGACTGGTGACACACAGACCCACCAGGACAGACAGACGCATGGGGGCCCACAGAGCCATGGGGACACATGGACACGTGGGGACAGACAGAGGCTTCAGGCACCGTCCTTGTCCCCATGCCCATCCCAGTCCCTGTCCCCATGCCAGTCCCCATCCCCATCCCTGTGGCCCTGACATCCCCATCCCTGTCCCTGTCCCCATGCCTGTGCCATCCCCATGCTTGTCCCCATCCCGTCCCTGTCCCCATGTCCATGCTGTCCTTATCCCCATGCTTGCATCATCCCTGTCCCCATGCCTGGCCCTGTGGTGGCCCTGTCCCCATGCCATCCTCATCCCCATGGTGTACCCATCCATGTGTTGCCCAGTCACCATCCCCATGCTGTCCCTGTCACCATGCCTGTGCCCATGCTGTCCCCATCCTTGTGCCATCCCCATGCCATCCCCATGCCCGTGCCATCCCTGTCCCCATGCCACCCCTGTCCCCATGCCCATGCCAACCCTGTCCCCATCCCTGTCCCCACACTATCCATGCTGTCCCCATGCCCATGTCATCCCCATCCCTGTCCTCACACCCATGACCATGCCGTCACCATCCCCAACCCCGTCCCTGTGCCATCCCCATGCCTGTCCCCATGCCCATACCCGTTGCCATCCCCATGTTGTCCCCATCCCTGTCCCCATGCTCATGCCCATTACCATCCCTGCGGTGTCCCCATCCCTGTTGCCCATCCCCTCGCGGTCCCTGCGCTGAGCGGGTGACACGTACGGGTGCGGACGCGCAGGGTGCTGGGCGCCCCGAGGTGCTGCTCCCGCTGGGCCTGGATGAAGAGCTCGAAGGCGTGGCCGGGTGCCAGCCCTGTCACCTCAAAGGTGACAGCGGAGCCAGGCAGCTCATGTGTGGTCATCGCTGCTGGCTCGTCCTGGGAACAAGGGACATGCCAAGGACACACTGGGGACACCACGGTGGGACCTGGCCCTGAGTCAGGCAGCAGATAGGTGACCACAGCCAAGAGCTTCTCCCAGGGCTGGGGGACATCTTGGGGACACACTGGGGACAGCTAAGGAGGGACACACTGGGGACAGTGTGGTGAGGACACCTCCTCATCCCTGAGCCAGGCAGGGTGGCTGCAGCTCATGGCTTGTCCTGGGGCTAGGGGAAATGTTGGGGACACACTGGGGACATATTGGGGACACCACAGTGGGAACATGTCCTGGTCCCTAAGCAGGGCTGCAGGCAGGTGGCTGCAGGCAGGTGGCTCATCCTGGGGACAGGGGACATGTTGGGGACACTGGGGACACCATGCTGGGGACACATCTCTGTCCCCAAGCCAGGTAGCAGGAGGGTGGCCACAGCTGCTGGCTTATCCTGGGGACAAGGGATGCATTGGAGACACATTGGGGACACCATGGGGGGATGCCATGGGGGGACCCATCCCTAAGCCAGGCAGCAGATGGATGACACCACCACGGCTCATCCTAGGGACAAGGGACACACTGGGGCGATGTCCCCATACCCAAGTTAGGCAGCAGGAGCTGGCCTGACCACTGGTTTGCTCTGGGGACAACAGGCACATTGGGGACATGCTGGGGCCACCATAGGGACACACTTATGGTGTCCCCCAGAGGGGCAACAGTGGGTAGCCACAGATGCCACCTCATCCTGGGGATGAAGGCTACGTTGGGGCCACCACACTGGGGCCACCATAGCACTGGGGACCTGCCCCCACTCCTGTCCCCGTCCCCAGCTCACCAGGGGGATAAGGGCCACCTGGTAGCCATCTACCAGCACAGAGGGACGGGGCCAGGTCACACGGAAGGACGTCTGGTTGCGGGTGGCCAAGCGTGGTGTCACCGAGGGGATATCTGCGGGGACACGGTCCCATCAGTGGGTGCCACCCACAGGCACACTTTGGGGCACCATGGGATGCGGATACCCTGGGATGGGTACACCATAGGTACACCATGGGACAGGGGCACCCCGGGGGACACCATGGGATGGGGACACCCTGGGGACACCACGGGATGGAGCACCCATAGGATAGGGACACCCTGGGAACACCATGGGATGGGGACACCCTGGGGGACACCATGGCATGGGGACACCCTGGGGACACCACGGGATGGGGACACCACGGGATGGGGCACCCATGGGATGGGGACACGCTGGGGACATCACAGGACAGAACACCCATGGGATGGGGACACCCTGGGGACACCATGGGATGGGGACACCACGGGATGGGGCACTTATGGGACTGGGACACCCTGGGGACATCACAGGACAGGACACCTATGGGATGGGGACACCCTGGGGTGTCCTGGGGACACCATGGGACAGGGACACCTCAGGGAACACCATAGGATGGGGCACCCATGGCATGGGGACACTCTGGGGATGCCACAGGATAGGGACATCCCCAAGACACAATGGGGACACCATGGGATAGGGCATGGGATGGGGACACCATGGGACAGGGCCCATGGGATGGGGACGCCATGGGGACAGGGCACCCATGGAACGGGGGTACTCTGGGGACATCACAGGACAGGGATGGGGACACCACAGGACAGGGACACCCTCAAGACACCATGGGGACACCACGGGATGGGGTACCCATGGGATGGGGACAACCTGGGGACACCACAAGGACACCACAGGACAGGGCACCCATGGGATGGGGACACCCTGGTGATACCAGGGGACTGGGACACCCTGGGGACACCACAGGATGGGGCACCCGTGGGCTGGGGACACTCTGGGGACATCACGGGACAGGACACACTTGAGACACCATGGGGACACCACAGGATGGGGACACCACAGGATGGGGACATCCTGGGATGGGGACGCCATGGGGACATGGAGGAGACACCCCAGGAACAAGGCCACCCAAGCCATGGGGGACAGCAGGATATGGGGCACCCACAGGACAGGGACACCACAGGGACACCCAGGGACAGGGCACTGGGGGACACTGGGAGTACTGGCAGAGCACTGGGGGACATACCAAGGTGGCATCAGGGTCCCCTATGGCTGGGGGGGGACAGGAGTGGGGGCATTGGGAGCACTGGGATGGGGACACTGGGGGACACTGGGAGCGGTGGGGAGCACCAGAGAAGCACTGGGGGACACTTGGGGACATTTGCGGACAGGTGGGGAAATACTGAGGTGGCATCAGGGCCCACTATGGCTGGGGAGGTGGGGGGGGGG